GGTAGATTCCCTGGCTATTGGTTTTTGATAGACAGATGTGGCGTATGTGCTGTTGTTGGCGTCGATATGTACATCCAGAAAATTGATGGTTTTGTCAGTGGCTATTTCGTGGGTGAATTTAAGCACAGAGTTGTCTTGTAGGTTTTGTCGGAGCTTCATTAATTCATCGGTTTTCTTGGTAACGATGAAGCAGTCATCGACGTATCTGCAGTACAGTGTGGGGTGGTGGTCCTGCAGCACTTTGTTTTCTATGTGACACATGTAAAAATTAGCGAAAGTTACTCCAAGAGGAGAGCCCATGGCAACTCCATCGACTTACTGGAAGAAAGTAAACCTACAGACATCGGTCTTGTTTAACAAAATCTGCATATATATATATGTATGTGTGTGTGTATGTATGTATATGTGTGTGTATATATACATTTAAGTTTGATAAGCCTATGAAGTTTGGTGAGGGTCTTTGCAGTAGACTAATTAGTAACTTTGATGCTTGTACAATAGTGGAAATTTTTTAAAAGTAATGAAAAATTACTTAGTACTAGTAACTTTAGTACATGTAGAAATCAAAGAATGATGATAAATGGGTATTTAACCATATTTAAGATTTTTTTGCCTGATGGTATGTTATATATATATATATATATAAGTACTTTGAATTTATTACTCTTGTACAGATATACACAATACAGACATGAAAAGGCACATTTCACTTGTTGCTGTGAGGTGATGTCTTTGTCTTATTTCTTATACTTCTATCATTTGTTTTGGTGGGTGAGGAATTACCTGAATGGATTGAATGGACTTGTGTTGCTTGATCCTCTATTATGCTTTTAAGTATTGAAGTTAAAGAAGAGATATGCTTACACTATGTTGAATTTTAAAGTAAGGCTTTTTTTTTTTACTTACAGCTCAAAACATTATTCCAGGATCTTAGATTGCAGCTTCCTTCCAAGAGATGGTTTAGAGACAATTTTGATACTAGTTTCCTGGAAGCTCGTCTGTGTGGGTTACAGGCATTTATTGATGATGTTATTTCTCATCAGAGTCTCATCAAAAGGTGTTTAACAATTAGATTGATAAATAACCACCAGCAATGAGCCAGTTATTTCACTTAGTAAAATTATATAGAAGGCCGCAAGCATAAACTGTGAGATCATGATGCTGCATTAGTGAAAGATATGTTTCATATATGTGGATTCTCTTAAGTGGAAGTATTTCTCTTGGTATACATACATATTCTAATAAAGATCTTTAGTACGTTCTCCATACTGTTTGGAGTACTGAAATAGCAACAAGGTATTAGTAATATAAAAATTAATTCTAATTTTAGAAAAATCGTAAAAAATCTAAACTTAATATTACTTTTATCGATATAAATATTGCTGCAACAGTAGAGAGGTGCTACATTCTTTCCAACTATAAAAAATAATGTAAGATCTAATGTTTCAAGGTACAGTCAGTGTGTATATAATTCACAGAAATAAATAACCCACATACATCTAAGTAAAACACAAGAAACATGTTCTGTTATATATATGAAAAGGAAGACATTTTTTATTTTATAGCAAACCTGTCCAAGAATTTTTCTGTCTTGATGACCCACCTGGTCCAGATGATAGTCTTGAAGAAAGCAGGGTAAGCTTTTGTTAATCTTTTAGAATAATTTAACAACTTAACACCAATATGCCTAATTAATTCACTGAATAATAAACCTTTAATATTTTTGTAGCTGCAGTATGATGTTTTTGTAATGCTAAAAGTAACAATCTATGTCTTTCTTTTTTATGCTTAGTATTTAACTTTAAGGAAAAAGAATTAGTTGTAACATTTTGCAATGGTTGTTTTCTCAAAAAAATTCGAAAATGAAATATTTTTCCTGTGAATTAATATAGGTACAAAACAGCTGTATATTAGTCTATACATGATCTAATGTAACTTTCATATTTTTTAAGTACATATGTCTAGATAAAGAAACATTAGCTGTGAGAATCAATTACCAAATTTCATATAGTATCTTGCATATAGTGAGTTGATTGCATGTTATAAGAACAGTGTAAATATGCTAATACTGTGAAATATTGCCATAACTTTAAACTGTGGCATCACAGGTGACAAGTTTAGAACCTGTATATTTGGTTCATGGTGAATACATGACTACATGTAGATAGATTTTGGCCAAACCAAAAGAATGTGCTACAGCTCTTTTTGAGGAAGGATGTTTATGTAGTGAAATTGTTAAATGTGTAGAAACAAAGGACATCATATTTTAAAGAAAATAGGTTTTAATGTTCTCCACAGAAGCATCAGTGTTTAGAATAGCTGGAGGCTTTGAAACCAATATATCCCCAAGCAAATCCAGAGCATTGATTTCATCTACAAAGTGAAGGCCATGATTACAAAAAAGAATCCCCTGACCCAAGAAGGCTATTGTAGTGTAACCAAGTATATATCCTGGTATCAACTGCAAGATAATAAACAAGGATTTGGAATTTTCAAAGTACTTGCACTTCATGTTTTCATTACACATTGTTGATTGGAATATTAGATAAAGTTTTTTAGCAAAGCATAGTTTTGAGCCACAGACTTCTGGGTTATGGGCCTAGCATGCTTACCCTTCTGCTTTGGTTTTTAGTTGACACAGGTTCACAAGCTTATATGCAATCTCACCTTGAAATTACCAGACACTTTCATTAAAAAGATGGTCAAAGAAATTAGAATCACAGTAATCCCATTGGACTACATTCCTGTCAAGTCTTCCCATTCCTCAGGATGCAGCTTCAATGGACTTTTGTGCATTTGGTCTGCTTAAATGTAGTTTTGGAAGGTGATGAAATATTTGTCAAGATGTTTAGCTTTAGAGTGACCTCACTGTCCATTCCAGAAGCTTGTTACAATGGAATTTTGATGTCAGGCAATAAGTCATATCCTGATGATGGGTTGACAATGAATAGAGTAGTTCAAAGGGCAGCATGGTATTTAGAATATAATACTTATAAAATGTGTTTAACCCTAAATATATAAAATATGTGTGTGTGTGTGTGTATTCAGAAACAAATAGGATTTTGTGCCAGGTTTCTTTACCTAATTTTATATTTCCCTCTTTTGGGGTGTTTTTCTTCTTATGAACGTTGAGAATGAAATAATTACAAGTTAGAATTTATCAGTTATTTTGAAGATAACACAGATGAATATTCATTCACTTTGCTTCTAGCCCTTTCTTATGGCTTGTGACCGTAGAGCTAAGTTAAAAGCTCTCACCCTTTTATTGAAATTCTTTAGAGGCATAGTATTTTTTCAACTGTAGGTGGCATCTAAAATTGACCTTTCTTTTAAGAGTTGCATTACAAGACTTTGTGATGAGAATTTTTCTTATTCCACAATTATAAAAGCATGAAACTTTAGTTTTTTGAAGAATAGGACATCTGTAGTATTGAATCATATCAGTAAAGCAACATAAGACATGAGTTTTGCAGAGAAAAACAGACTACTCCATGGCCATCTTCCAGTTGTACACCTGAAGTAGTGAAAGAAATTAACCAGCTTGTCACCAAAAGTAAATCAGGATCACAGTAATCAATTTCAATAGGAACTCCCTTGGAACTGTGAACAAACCAATTGTCATGGATTTAGATCTACAAAAGCAACACAGAAGAACAACAGTGCAGAAGTCAAAGTATACTTGAAGAATACCATTCACTTGCTGAATACAATTAATGACTCAACTATGTTTACAATATATATATATGTATAATTTTACTATAATGGATGTAGCATGTATATCAGTATCTGTGTATATAACCAAAACTCCTGCACCATCTATTGAATGGCACCACAAACGAAAAAATCAACAGAAAATTTCACACTTTGGGTATTCAACATTCAGAGAATTAGAAAAATTACTGTGGTATAAACAATTTTAAATGAAAGTACTCTTCTCGCAACAAGAACACAGTTTTCACTATGACTGTATGTGAGGGTTTTATTATATCTATATTGATGTAATTTTTAAATGTAGCACTGAGAAACTGGAGTTCTTAAAAAATCTATTATTTTTTCAATAAGCAGTACCATTTTTAATATATAAAACATTACAGTTTATATCAATAAAGTTTATGAAAATTTTGAGCTCTGTACATGAATCATTTTGATTTAATGAGTGGTGTAGGACTAAACAGCACAATCCAAATGCTTTTCCTATGCAGTACTTCCCAGAAAAAAATTTTTTTTTTTAGAAAATTTTAAATTTTTCTAAGTTTTTTTTGAATGAGCTATGAATACTATGGTTAGTAATTACAAGCACAAACAACCGCCCTACATGTGGCATTTCTGCTAGATGCTTATAATTTCTACAGTGTGATGACAATACTTAAATCCTCAAATAAGTTGGAGAACACAAAGTTGGAGCTAAAGAAAATTTGAAAAAGTGCTTTGGTTTGGTGAGTCAAAATTTTAAATCAGTGGATCTAAGAGAAAGCTGGTTGTGAAAGAAAGAAGAATGTTTAAAGTGCCAAATTGTACAAACAGTGTAATGAAACATGGTGGGTGTAGTATAAAAACATTCAAACATTCATGTATATATTTTACGTGAAACTGTTCAAAAGTTTTGTACATACAAGCATATGTAGTTTTTAACTATATAAATTGGCCAAGTAAGTAGCAAAATTCCTTTCACCCTAGTTACCTCTTGTTCTGGGTCATTTATTTAGGGTATCATATGCAGTTTTTCATGGAAAATATTTATGTGAAGTAGGAACATACTGTGTGGAAGTAACCAGCAATCCTTTTCACTGGTGGGTCATGTGATACCTTGAAGTTCAATGTCCCTTATTTTTCAGTGTGAATAACCAACAGTGATTTGAGTAGTGCATACACTCTGGAAAAGAGTAGAATTATTGTTCTGTGTTTATAATGCTTTGTTTTCTTAGTCTGGAAGAATTCTTAAGGAGTTTTTCAGAGATCTAGAGAGACTTCTCTTAATACTCCAGTAAAGGCACTGTCTTTCATTCACAGCCATCAATTTTATTGTTTATTGTTTGAATAAAGATTATTTCACAGTGTCATACGCTGTGTCCCTTCTCTTTCATTTCTCACAACTCGGTAAAACCCAAAGGATACAGATTAACTCTGCAAAACATGCAGTTTCTGCTGTTATTTTGTGGAACTTATCTGATTATGTTGCAGGAAAGTCAGTGTTCCTGAGAAGACCACAATTTTAACCTCTAAGACCTCATAAGAATAGGTGGGTCTTTTTATTCTGTTTGCTAGAAACAAATTAAATCCATTATACTATCATATAAGGAAGAAGATTAAATAATCCAAGTTTTATTTACCAGAGTGATAATGATTGCAAGCACAAAACATATATTCTAAAGTACTTGAGTTTTAATATGTTTATATAAGTAATTCCGCAATATTAAAGAGGCAAGATTTTTTAAATGAATTGTTCTTGAATCAATTGAACAACAGAGCAGAAGTAAGAGTATGCATCAGGAGCACCATTTATTTACTGAAAACATTTAATGACTTGGTTAAGATAATGTTAGTTACAAAACCCATGTAACATGACTACCTTGAAACTCAAAGTGGTCAGTGTTAGTGAATCTTAATCAAATCTTATGAAACAAGTATTTGTCAAACTGAGATGCTCAGTAATGAGTATGAGCTTTCATCAACATTCCAGAGGCTGGCCAGACACTCTTGGGTATTTTAAAAATTAAAATGTAAAAAATCAGTTTATTTTAGGATCATTTACTCTGATTATTTCCTGTGTTATTTAATAAACATTCAAATGGCCCAAACGACACATTATGTATATGTATATATATATTATTCCCAAAATGATCAAATGATATTAAGTAATACAAGGTTCAGATGAAATCTTGGCCAACTGCAGGACTGAAGCAATTTTTCAAAGTAGTGGCAACCAGACTCATAATATCTGTTCCTTACTGTTTGGTCAATGGTTAGTCATGCCACTTGCTATCCTGAAGTTACATGTCACTCATTTTGTTGTCCAGTTATATCTATAGATCATTTATATCATAGCATGCCCACAGTCTTACTACCATGGAGTTGGATATGCCAAGGTTAACTGTCACTTGTCTCTGGTTTTCAATGTTTAAGCAGCCGTTTCTGCATGTACTTCCATCAAAATCTTCTAATGCCACCAGGAAGTAATAATGTCACTTAGTTGTTTAGAAACAATAATTAAACTTGAAATGATTATCAAAACTTTAAATCAGTAACTGATCGAGTCTTGAAGACAGAATGGGTTAACTGATCGAGTCTTGAAGATAAAATGGGTTAACTGATCGAGTCTTGAAGACAGAATGGGTTAACTGATTGAGTCTTGAAGACAGAATGGGTTAACTGATCGAGTGTTGAAGACAAAATGGAGTTAACTGATCGAGTCTTGAAGATAAAATGGGTTAACTGATCAAGTCTTGAAGACAGAATGGGTTAACTGATCGAGTCTTGAAGACAAAATGGAGTTAACTGATCGAGTTTTGAAGACAAAATGGAGTTAACTGATCAAGTTTTGAAGACAAAATGGGCTACCATGTTTCTAGTGGGTGACTAATGCAAAATGCACCAAAGCAGCAGTGCAATTTGATTTTTAAGTTAGATCTGCACATAACTAATAAAGTATAATTCTAAAAAAAATTTATTTGCATGCCTAGTTTCTACTCTTTTGAATTTTTGCTTCTTTAAATTTTTAAAGTAGTGGTTGCTATTATAGTATGTGTTAAGCTACCAATACACAACATAATATGCCACATCAGATGCAGTGACAAGCTAAAAAAGTACACTGATGATTGGATTTATCATCAACTCAATCCTGTGTGGTACCAGTATAATGTATCAGGATGTTAAACTGTGGCTCACAATACTGACATTAATGCTGATGCCATATTAAATTTAGCTATGCGAACAGACAACTGTCCACCTGAATCATTACATATTTCCCCACTGTCAAAGGATGCTGTCAGTTTGACAGATTCCTTGTCACCTACTAGTCTGTGTATGTATATATCATAACTCAATTGATAATATCATCATATATATCAAATTCTTTATTAATTTTGTCTCATTTGTCATGAAACCTAATATTTATTAGCTTATGGAATACACCTGTAGTCTTACTATGCTGTAGTCCAAGTTATCATTTGTAATGAAGAAATAAGAGAATATGACTGACAATCAGATTACTGAGTTCACACTAATTTTTGAGTCAGTGGTCAACTGACTGAGCACCACAGTTTCCAGCCCCAAGCAGCAAACAACTTTCCACCTATTTCAACACACACACACATCCTAATGAAAAGTTACTTGGAATGACACCACTATAAAAACCAATTTGAAAAGTCTGATAAACTCAGAACTATAATTTTTGTTTTTATAATAGCAGAGATAAAAATCAAATACGGCAAAGGAAAACATTATCTCAAATCTAAAATTACACCACAATATATCAAAAGAATAAATTGCCAACTTATGGATACAAATGTATAAAATTAAGCATACAAATCTGTGAAATGTTTAATAACATTAGAACTTTCAATTAACAGTCAAACTGGCAAAAGAAAACAATAACAAATGTTACATCTGGGAAAAACATCATCATTAGTGTGCTAACACGCTACACATTAATGTAGCCAAAGTAGGGAATTTTTAAATTAGTGCATGAAACACTCCTCAAACAAATATGTATGATGAATATCTGAAAAATAGCATAAAAAACAAATATATTGTTCACTTAAGTTTATGTATTCAAAGAAAGCTCTTTTGTAAATGGTTACGAATTATTAAATATTATTTCAAAAGAAAGGCATAATGCTCATGTTTTTAATGTTTTAAAATTTAGGCAATGTGTGAAAGTTTAGAAAGGACTGTCTACCTCTTAAGACAGAAACTGAAAGAAAAAGATGTAGAAATTGATCTTTTAAAAGCAGAAGTGAAAATGCTTCGTTCACACCAACAAATTCTGCTGAAATCACTTGAGTAAGTAAGAATTTTATAATATTTTGGCCAGCAACAACAGTTGATGGTAGAAATTTTTATAACTAGCAAAAATATTGTAAAAAAAATTATGAAACATATTTATTGCATTGTTTAAAGTGTTATTTAATCTAATTCTTTTGACTTTTGTGAGAACTAAAGTCTCATAATATAGATTTTATTAAAATACATAACCTTTTTTTTGAAAGATGAACAGTAATAACAATTACAGATAAGAAAGCATTGTCACTAAATGTGTTTTTTTTATATGATCCTAACCAAACTTTATTATGGCGTATATAGTTGTATATTATTTCTGTATCTCTTCATATATGATTATATTAGTACATGTAATAGGTACATGAAAAATAAATGAATGAAATACTTTGAGATTTTAGTTACATAGAGCCTGGAAGCATATACTGTTTTGAAATTTAATTTTATTGTCCATGTTATAAGTTATAAGCACTGAATTCTGTTGTCTGTGTTACTGTTTATTATTAATTAGAATAATCATTAACAGCTCATATTGTTAAGTTGAGCTCCTGTAGCACATTTTACTTTGACACTAAAATAATTTGTCTGAATTACTGCTTTGTAGGTTAGAATGTTCAATAATGACCAAGTCTGATCAGTTAAGTCCACAAAGGCTTGGCCCAGTGACCTCTAGCCCAAAACATTCTTCTCCTTGTGCCCTTTCTGTTGATCATGCCTCCAATATTCCTATTGCTTCTGACCATTTTCATCGTCTACATCATCTCAACATGACTCTAGTCAAATTGTGAGCAACCTTCTAAGTTAAATGTTCTTATTTAGTTAATGTATGTAGATTTCCTGCCAAAAGCATAAAATAAATTTTAAAAGCTTTCAAAAGTTTAAATATGTTTTTGTTTTCTATAACTTTGTAAGAGATAATACAGTTTCTATGATAAAACATTGATTTTTTTTATGTGTTTGTCAATAATATTAAATTAGTTAACCAAAATCCTTTTACTAGCAACTTTTGTTCTATCAAGCTAGTGGTTTAATTAATATTTTTTTCAGAATTAACTGTGTAGTATAAGGTACTAAATACATATACTCTGATTTTTCATGTATGTAAGTATATGATATGATGTTTCTGATTTCCAGTACTGTTGAACTGGACTCAAAATGTTAAAATTGTATTTTGTTTGTTTTTAAGGTACTATAAGGTTTGCATTTGTTTTAAAGATAACTGTTGAGAGAGCAGTGTGTTTATTGCTATTTAATTATGATAATGGTTAATATAATTTTTGTTTCATTTTCATAGTAATGTCTTGAGCTTGAAGTCACATATATAATTTTTAGTGTTTTGATATGTTTGTACTGTATATGATATAAGCACATAAATGGTAAGAAATTATTGTTTCAGGTATAAAAAATATCGTGAACATCAACCTGATGAAAGCCTAATAAACAATAATCAGAGTGATGTATTAGCAGAAATACTTCCAGTCCTCTCAAATAGGTACTCTTTGATTTGTTCTAAATCTAAGTAATTTCTAATGGTTCATAAAGTTTATGTAATGAAGTACTATCCTTGTTTTAGTTTTAAGAATTAGAATTTTGTTCTTCTTAGGATTTAGTAGAATACATACATATATATATAAGAGATTATCAATGGTAGAAATCTTATAAATGAGATTACCTGATTAAGATGGAACATGTGATCCATGTATGATTGAGTGGAATATTTGATTAAGTTGCATATATTAACATGATTTAGGAAGAAGAAATAATTAGATTTGGATATATGGAAACGTGTTATGTATATATGATTAAAACACAAAAAATTGTGGCTAAAGAAATTAAAGTAATACCAATTGCAGAAATCTGCAAAATGTATTATCACAAAAAAAGATAGATAGGTGTAGTATTAGTACTAAAAAATGGTTGGGGATATCTCAAACATTTTATCAGCAATGAGCTAACAAATGTAGGTAAAAACTTGAAGGCTTGCAGAATTTATTTAATGGTCATGGGTGCTTAAACCTATAATCTAGAAATACTGCTGTTCAAATTCTTTACATGAATAATGAATAATAGTAATATCAAAGCATACCACACACTGAGTTACTGCATATATCATATTCTCCCAGAGAGAAAAATGCCCACTTCGTACCAGGTGAACTAAATATAGATTTGAAATTTACCTGAAAGGTCTGCGTAATGGGAGGTTCAAACAGGATATGGCATTACTAGATAGGCTGAGTTTAAGCTAAAGAATAAACAGACTGGACTCAAGATGTAATAAACTATGGACACAGTCTTTACTAAAACTTAAAAATACAGTGTTTGTACTTGCTTACAATGGACTGTCACTTCTTCACAGAGTCAAGATTAAGTCAAGCTTGGATGAGACTAGGAATTAGACTAACTAAATGAGAGGTTTCTATTTGAAGTGAAATCTCTCATTTACCCAGCATGACTATGATACCATGTGACTGGTAATTTCCATTCCACATTAGTGGCTGAGGCTATGATCTATTATCTGTGCTAACAGTGAAGGACATCACGCTAAACATCCTGAAGTAAGGTTCCGTGTTGCAATATTCTCCTTTGGTAGTAAGAGTTAGACACCTAACTTTGAGAATGACAAAGGAAAAAGGAAATTGAAACAAGATCAACTTAATGGTTTTCTTGACAACATGTTATGTGAAACCTGCACATCTTCAGAACAAAATATAAATTCAGAATAAATAATAATACTACTATATCACACCACTAAGCCAATGTTTTATCAATTTCTTAATGTTTTTACTATTTCAATTAGCATTTGGTATATTATTTTATCTCTTCTTTAGTTCTTTATATAAAGCTTTTTGAAAGTATTGATTGCATAACATCAGTTGTAAGGATCTTGTCCATGGGACAAGTCCTATTAAAAAATTCCAACATGATGGTAAGGCAAATAAATCCTTTCTTAAAACTATTTTCAGAATTTATTTTTTTTGTACAATTCCAGCTTTTGGTCAAATTATTTTTGAATTATCTTCAGTAACAATTAACAAAGTAACAGTTAACAATAGACATCAAAGTAATAGGACAATATTTCTTGGATCCTCTTCTGATAATTTGTTTCTTAGAAATAAGTATCATATTAGCAATATTTTAATGTAATTCTTTCAGTAGTACAGCATTTATTAGGCTTTTAGTAGTAAAAATATTGTTACGTCTCTGGTCGTTAGTTTGTTTCCCGTATAATTTCTTTCCGATGAAACTTTAGCGACATAAATCCTTTCTTAAATAAAACTGGTTTATTCTTTCTGAATACAACTTTGAAATTCACTTAATTTCCACGGTCACACTATAGCTTAAACAAACACTATAATTCACAACGAACGACTCACGTGCTCGACTCAGTCGTCATTCTCTCTCTGTCTGCAGTTCAATTACATTGTTGCCGTCACTTCTTACTGGTCTTATATACAAGAATACCGCAAATCTAGTAAACACTCGAGGATTCACAAACCTTCGAGAATATGACGTGTTACTAGCATCACGTGACCCCCGCTGTCGTAACAATATTATTTTCTTAGACCTGTTAAATTTTCTTTTAGCACTGTTATACTGAATATTTAAAATAATTGTACAATTTCATTAACCATAATAAATTATTTTTTACAATTTCAATGCATTAATATATAAAAGAGTTATCAAAAAATACGTAAATCTTTAGTTAAAATGTCCATGTTGCTTTTGTGTTTTTTTCTTTTCATAGTTTAGGAACTTCCTGGCAGAAAGTTGTAAGCCCAAGCTCTTG